AAGTGAAGACCTAATGTGATCTCGGTGCCAAATTCATTGGAATAATTGTTAGAATATTAAATACATATAAATCCTACAGTCTGACCCTTATCTGAATCCTGAATTTCCCCTTTGAATATTCCCAACAATCAGTTGTCTGGTGTCTGCTAAGGCTATACAGAATAGAGGTAAAGAACACTGGCTTTGGAGTCAGGCTACCTGGATTCAAACCCAGTTCCACTGTTTATTAATATGCACATTAAATTAGATGGTATAAGTGAAGTGCTTGGCACATTGCCTGGCCCACAGTAAATACTAATCAAATACATTATCATTAATAGTTATTAGTAGCAGTACCTTCAGTAACAGTGTATTCACTACCTTCCCAAGTAGCCCATACCATTACTGGACAGTCTGGTGTTACTTCCAGCTTTATTAGACAGTAACTGGGTAAGTCAATAACTGTTCGTTTCATTTCAAATATGTATTCTTTATCTTATTAAGGAAATAGCCTTCTACTTTGAGTGTACTAAGTTCTATTATCAGAAACAGATGTGAATTTTATGAAATGCCTCTTCAACATTTATTGAGATAGTCATATTTTTTTCCTTTGTTCCATTAACGTGGTGAATTACATTAATGGATTTCCTAATACTGACTCAGTTTCAGTCTAGAGTAAATCCTGCTTGTTCTGATTACATTGAGCAGTTGTGAGATCTATACACAATGAAAATTAATTATCTGTTTCATTATCAGCTAATTATACTTATTTATCTATACTCAGACTTCTCAGAGAAGCAGGAATATCCTAAGCAAGTTACTCTTTAAAGCCCACCAGTGCTTCTGTTTCATTTAATAGGCAGAGGGCCAAGGAAGTGGATTGATGGAGCACCACTTTGAGTTCCACGTAGAGAAGGTTAAAGGATTAACCCCTCTTCAGGCAACAGTCTGGGGAGAAGCAGATTGTTACGTCCAGTACTACTTTCCAGCTCAAGACTCACAATCCAGTGTGCTAGAAGGACCTGAGTTCCTTGAAAATGGTAAGTTTGGGAGATTATGCCTTCTTATTCTTGTATGGTTATTTTTATACATACACTTAGGAATTTCTTTTCCTGTGTGAATTTTATGTTCCTGAATGTTTATAGTCTTACCTGGCCAGTACGATAGGAGATGGGATAATTTTTTTATTTTTATATTTTTAATTGTTTCTTACAGCTTTTTTGTTTTGATATGATACCAAATTTACAAAAAAAGTTGCAAGAATGGTACAAAGAGGTCGAGAAGGGAGAGGGTTGACATGTTGTGGGGTTGTTAACCAATGTCATAAAACAATATGTGTACTTTTGTTTCATGAGAAACTATTTGTTCTGTAAGCCTTCACCTGAAGTACAATTAAAAAAAAAAAAGAGTAGTGCAAAGAACTTCTGTATAACCTTTATCCAGATCCACCAATTATTTATATTTTACTCCATTTTATATCATTTACATGCCTACTCACTCCACCCATCTATACATATATTAACTTTTTTCTGAACCTGGACCATAGTAATCATTATACCACTTTATATCAAAAACAGTGGTTCTCAACCATTGTTGCAGTTTTGTCTCTGTGCATTCTAGATAGTATTTAGTCAAGTCTTACGTCTTAGTTTGGGTTCTCTTAAGGGCAAAATCGGTGATATATATATACACCATATTTTTATTCAAACAGTGCACGCCTTCTGCTTTTGTTTGCCAACTGCACGTTCCCCCTGCGAGGTATTTTTGTAAGTGTGCTATGCTAACTTTTTTTTACAGCAACATGTAAAAAAAATTGGCATAGCAGTGCTTACAAAAGTACCTCGCTGAGGGAGGGTGCAGTTGGCAGACGTAAAAGGTGCACGTTATTTGCGTTAAAATGTGGTATAGA